GGACGTGACAACCAAGAGAAAAGCTGATATAGCATCAGATCATCACTTCCTGGTCGCCAAGATGAAGTTGAAACTCAAGAATCACCGGACAACGGAGCGGACAACACCACAAAAGCTTGATAGGACTTTCTTCGGAGTACTGACAAACTCAACAAATTTAAGATAGTCTTCAGTAATAGGTTCCAAGCCTTTCTTGATCTACTCAATGGAGAGAGGACTGCTATGGATAACAACTGGGAAGGGATAAAAAAGGCAATAACTTCAACATGTCATGAGCTTCTGGACCACAAGAAGCACCACCACAAGGGATGGATCACTGTTGATACACTGGATAAGATTCAAGAAAGGAGGAACAAGAAGCCAGCAATCAATACCAGCCGAACAAGAGCAGAAAAAGCCAAGGAACAAGCTGAACATACAAAGTAAACAAGGAGGTGAAGAGGAGCACCAGAACCGACAAACGTAAATATGTGGAGAATTTAGTAGTGATGGTAGAAAAGGCTGCAAGAGAAGGAAACATGAGACAATTGTACGACACAACGAAGAAACTCGCTGGAAATTATCGTGAATCAGAACGACTAGTGAAAAGCATGAAAGGCAAAGTAATTACCAACATCGAAGAACAGCGAAACAGATGGGTAGGACACTTCAAAGAACTCTTGAATCGACCAGCTCCACTGAACCCACCCAACACAGATGTAGCATCCACGGACCTCCCAATCTATGTTGGCCTACCAACAACTAAAGAGATTTGCATGGTCATTAGCAAAATCAAGATTGGCAAAGCAGCAGGACCAGACAACATTCCAGCAGAGGCACTGAAAGCAGATGTAGTAATAGCTGCAAAGATACTGCACATTCTCTTCAGCAAGATTTTGGATGAGGAACAGGTGCCAAAAGACTGAAAAGAAGGACTTCTAGTCAAAGTACCAAAGAAAGGAGATCTCAGCAACTGTGATAATTACAGGGGAATCACTTTTCACTCAATACTAGGAAAGGTCTTCAACAGGGTATTGTTAAACAGAATGAAGGACTGCGCAGACGCCCAACTTCGAGACCAACAGGCACGATTCCGTGAGGATCGATTATGTGCAGACCGAATCGCAGCACTACAGATCATTATGGAACAATGAATTCAATGAACTCCGTCACTCTACATCAACTTCATTGACTATGAAAAAGCATTTGATAGCGTGGACCGAACAACACTATGGAAGCACCTTCAGCACTACGGCGTACCTAAGACGATAGTCAGTATCATACTTTATTCCTATAATTGGATTGAACTGCAAAATCGTGCGTGGAGGTTAATTGACAAAGTCATTCAAGGTAAAGACCAGTGTCGGGCAAGGATGCATACTCTCACCCTTTCTCTTTCTCCTGGTGATCGACTGGATCACGAAGACGTCAACATCTGAAGGGAAGCACGGGATACACTGGACATCTAGAATGCAGTTGGACGACCTAGACTTCGCAGATGATCTGGCTGTTCTATCGCAAACGCAACAACAAATGCAGGAGAAGACGACCAGTGTAGCAGCAGCCTCAGCAGCAGTAGGTCTCAACATACACAAAGGGAAAAGCAAGACTCTCTGATATAACACAACATGCACGAATCCAATCACAATTAACGGAGAAGATTTGGAAGATGTAAAAACATTTACATATCTGAACAGCATCATTTATGAACACGGTGGATCTGATGCAGATGTGAAGGCATGATCAGCAAAGCAAGATCAGCATATTTACAACTGAAGAACATCTGGAACTCAAAGCAACTGTCTGTCAACCAACACCAAGGTCAGAATTTTCAATACAAATGTCAAGACAGTTCTACTGTATGGGGCGGAAACTTGCACAACTACGAAAGCCATCATCCAGAAGATACAAGTGTTTATTAACAGCTGTCTACGCAAAATACTTCGGATCTGTTGGCCAGACACTATCAGCAACAACGTATTGTGGGGGAGAACAAACCCAATCCCGGCGGAGGAAGAAATCAGGAAGAAGCGCTGGAAGTTGATAGGACACACATTGAGAAAAACACCCAACTGCGTCACAAGACAAGCCCTCACTTGGAATCCTCAAGACCAAATGAGGAGGAGAGGAGACAAAGAACACTTCACGCCGAGAAATGGAGACAGACATGAGAAAAATGAAAGAGAATTGGATGGAACTGGAAAGGAAGGCCCAGGACAGAGTGGGTTGGAGGATGCTATTCGGGGGCCCATGATCGACTGGGAGTAACGGGCGTATGTAAGTAAGTAAGTAAGTAGGTAAGGCACTACAGCCAACACACCCTAATTTGTAGACGTGATTTTGTGTCTACACAAACGGGATCTTATTCTTTATACGAATTTAATCATTTCGAAGGATGTTAGTTGTTTTGTAGTATGAGTTAAATGTGTCGTGTCTAAAGGCTTTGTGAATTTCTACTGTTTTACAATGGCGGTAAGGCAGAACTATAGTACCGGTCTGCATGCCCTCGTGATATTGAGATACAGGTATCTTTGTTAATACTGTGATTTCTTTTACATTCTCTAAGTAGAAATGTGACTCCATTAAAATTCGAAGTCCAGCTTGCTTCTACAATCGGTAAAATGTCAAGTGCGACAAACTAACAGATTTGCAAAGTAAAATTTTCATCTACCGTATGACGTCGTTGACGATTTGTTGATTGCTGTAGTCTCCACTACCAATAGTGACTCAAATAAGATTAATAACGTTTAAAGCAATAAGTCCCTTTGATAAATTTGGATAGTGTAATTAGAAGATGAAGATTATCGGAATCATGTGATGTATTAGCGCAATACTTTTCGAACAATCCCATCGCACATATACTTGTTAAGAATACTTTTATATAGTTATAAATAGGCAACTGGATAAATGGAGGTTATGAGGAAATGAAGATAAGAAAGAAATAATGTGAAAAACTATGTGAAGCACATCACGATGGATAATAAACTGATATCTCCAAGGTAGGTTTAAAGTGAGAACAAACTATTTTTGAATACACAAAGGGGTTTTGAATTTTTATATGGCTAAGGCTTCAATAAATTTTAGTATATGTCGTTTAACACTCTTGTATAACACCACAAAGGCCGTGTTAATATCACTCTTATGACCTGCTTCAAATATATGTTTGGCAATTAGGGATGATGGATGTTTATCATCTACTCTTATAGGGTTTTTGAAACTATTTAGGTATATGTTCAGATAGCTTAATTTGAAGATCATGATTACTCCATCTTACGTATGTATGACCACATACATATTTGAATTGGTGGGACTTGACGCAATTGTTTTCATGTCTTTTAAGGTTTTTTTGTGAAACATGGACTTTATTTTTTTCTTTACTGCCTATTACGTTTTGACGATAACTGATTTGAACTTTTGTTTCAATAAAAGGCTACTTGACTCACCTTTAAACGGTTAAGTGACATAGACAGGCTTTTTGTGCCAAGACCATGGTAGGTTTCACTATACTATGACCTTTCCATCGATTTATGAATTCTAGAGGATAAACATTTTCCATTAATGTTTTGTTCAAAAACCGAACGTCATCATTAGCGTCATTTGTACAAATATTATCAATCCTGTTAAATAGGCTCCTTATCAAACCTCGTTTGTATTGAATTGAGAGATAACCATTATAATTAAGGTGCTGGTTTGCCTAAGTCGGTTTTCAAAAATTGATCGTTTGATTTCACTATCTCTTCTAATTATATGTCAAAGAAAGGAACCTAGTCGTTCTTCTCCTCTTAACATGGAAAACTGATGTGGTTTTGAAGAGGATCGAGTTTGTGCAGTAAATAATTCATATCCTCCTTTCACAGATAACTAAGATATCGTCCATATATCTCTTATAAAGTGATGTTTTCGATTCGGTCTTCAGTCAAATTTTCAACATGTGCCATGATAATATTTGCTAATAATAGTCTTAACGGACTATTCATAGCAACCACATCGACCTGCCGAAAGTTTTCACCATCAAAAGTGAACTGAATTTCGTCAGTGCATAATAGTAACAAATTATTAGGACGTTTTAAAGGAACAGATAGTGTAATGTTGTTCAAAGATATTTAGTCACATAATATATCAATAGTCTTTTTAAAAGATACATTAATGAACAAGGAATGCACGCCATGTGAACACATTGTCTTTCCCTTGATATTATCATCACCTAAATAGTCGACCAACTCGAAAGAATCCTTCAGAAGTCACTCACATAAACGCATTCGAATAGAATTCAACAATTTAGCTAGGTTATATATAGGTGATCGACACACTGATAAAATTGGATGTAAAGGAATTTCTGATTTATGAATTTTAGGTAATCCATGCAAATGAGGATAGTCAAAACGCATTGGTTTTAGAAAATTAAATTCTTCTTTACGAACCATATTCATTTGTAGCAGTTAACACCTTCAAATTCGACACCAGGCATAATTTTACTTTTGTAGTGTTGGTTGCTATTTCAAGCTCACATAGGTTGGTCTAGCTTTGAAACAGACCAATTTATTTATTCTTGAGTCATAGTTTGACCTCGTTAATCATTCGCTTATCTACGTTGACTATTTTTACGTAAGCGCATTTGTACGTATATCTTATCTTACTCATCACATGTCTGTGACTTACTTTTGTCTGATTATAAATATCGATTAACGCTTGGTTAAATGGAATCGGTTTACACGCCTCCTCCACCGCGCATCATTTTGCTTCGCCCTTTTCCCTTCACTTCCTTCGCTTCGTTCTTCTGAATGTTTGTTCAGATCAATGAGTGTACAAACTATGCTTATTCGAAACTTCATTCTCCTATTTGACTTATTTAATTCCGTTATTCATTAACGCGAGTTAAGTCGATGATAATACGCAAGAATAGACGATTTGTATATTTCGATAACAATCTATCATTCGATCCATATGTAGTCAGATCTCGGGCCATTAAACTTTCATCACTGAGGATGGATAACATCTTACTTTTTTATTCACATTTTTTTCACGATGAGCACACCTGATCCTTTATCAGGCTACAACATATTATATCAGGGTTTGTTCGTAATTCTTTTAATGATTTAAAATGCTGTGAAGTTAATATGCTTCTCGGCATTCATCTACAACTATGAAATTGGTGCGATATATCCATCAGTTTAGCTTTACGCCAACTGATTATTTAAAGACGTAGGGGCCAGTGTACTCAGTTGGTCGGAAAGAGTTTTAAACCGGGCGTTCATCTCTATTTGCGTTTAGGGACAGAAGAATTAAAACTGAAAGTGCATCCTCTTCACTAGCCGACAAAACAATGGGTGGTAAATTGGTGACGTACTTATCAGGATTAAATGGAAACAAATTAACATGATTAATATTACTGCAAAATTTCTCAAGCTTTCTTCCCATCCTTTCCTTTGTTTTCAAAATAACAATACTGCGAAAATTGATGAGTGTAATTAGGAAGACTATAGATATTTCTGTTAATAAAATTGATCAGTTTATTTTGACAATTGTCTATATACGATTTCTACAGTCGAATAAGATTTGAAATATTCTGTTGTAATTTACTTGAACGTAAATTTCTATATAACTGATATGGGAATATGCAACTTAACAAACAAAATTTATAAAAATTCACTTTCACTCGTTTTTATACATTTTTGAACCTAAGGTTAACAATTCAACATAACTCTAATGATCTTCGTCAACATTGCTGTACTGCGTTCTGATATACTTATTGAAGTGCCGATAAAACTAAATGTTCAGAATCGGTGATGATAATTGATTTCAAGTCAGGCTAAGTCCGTTTAGTTTGTTGAATGCGCGCATGCGAATTCATACTTTCATCGTTAATTAGATTTTAAATCAAGGAAATAATCACATTGAGTTTTGTGATTACATGATTTGTGCAGGTTCAAGTAAACAAAGGTGACGAGGTCCCATACAAATGAGCACACTTCACCAACAATTACAGATTCTTTACAGTTGTAACAAAGGCGAGTGTCCTTTTCAAACCAAAGTAACGGAAATGATCATCAGAAAACAAAGCCTATTTCATAGTTTCTTAAATGCAAATTTCATCCTGACCTTCATCCAAATATTATACGTAATATTCATTGCATAGGAGGTAAGGAGTGAAGAAAACCTATATGTAAATTATGGATTGTACTAAAAACAAATACTTTACTACCACCGTACACTAATGCTTTCAATGGCACTCTAACTGAGATCAATCATTTACAAATGTCAACTACTTTTAATTCTTCTATATCGATTTTCTTACAATGAATATTAATTTACGCTTTAGTGATATTGTGTACCACATTATGAAATAATGAAAAAAAGAAGAATGATTCGCTATCCACAAATCAATCAATGTATAAATGTTCTCTTTTCCATGAATTATCAGTGGAGTGTAGGTAAATGGATGTACGTAAATTTAAACACAAAGCACCAATATATGCGCTCTGTGCTGAATGCATAAATGATGAATAACAAAAATAAAAGACAGAAATCAAAAACTTTGAGCTATGATATCTTACCAATATTTGATTACCTAGTTTGCTTTTTTCATAACACAGAATGGATGGAAAACGACAGGGTAAAGAGAAACAAAAGTTCACTGCCGAAGAGAATCACAACAAGAATCATGCTTTTGGTGCCAATAACAAGTTGGACAACAGCATAAGAAAAGACTTACTATATTCGGTACAAATTTTAGCAGCATAAATTATTGTATTTATAAGTAAGTTATACTTTTGGTGTGTTTGTGTATAGGTTTATTCCAAGTTTTGTAACTATATGACTAACTGTAACCTTGATTCACCTAAATAACACATACACACGCACTAACTATAAAGTTCCCACAGTTGATTGATATTCATAGTCTAATCGTTTAATGAGTTAGTCTTATAAACCTCAAGGCATTCTTCGTAATCTATTCACTAACATTAATCAATATTTCAAGAACAAACTAGCTTTATTTGTCCCCAATACATTTAGATATATAGTGACAGAAAGTAGGTTAATATTTTATCTTTTGTTTTGCTATTTACCACTTGCATGAAATGTGTACAATATTACTTTTTAAAAAAAATCGTTGAATACGCTTGAAAAGAGCAACGATGACTAGAATAAGAACATCAAAATACAACAGAAACATTAACAACAACAGAAAGAACAAATGTTCGATAAAACGCATATATCTCGCTTAACGGTTTTTCTCTTCTTTGTCGTCTTCTTTTCTGAACACTGTACAAGCGTATGTTTGTGTGTACGTGTTGGTATAAGCTAAAAGTAACCAACACAAAGAAGTATGTGAAGACAATTTCTTTTAACAAGATGTAGAAAACAAAAATCAATATGCAAACATGGCAAAAGAAATTTGAAAGAGAATCAGATACAGATGAATGAACCATAATAGTAATAATATTAGGCCAAATAAAAAATTGAAACAAGAAATAAAAACTTAAAAGAATTAATAAAGAAGAATTACTAATTTATTCACTCGGTCAACTAATATGGTGATCAACAGTCTACAAAAAAAATTACATAATTATAAATTTACCACATGGTTTAAAAGACGTTTTATAAGTATGATGATTTATGAAGGAAGGAATTGGGGAAAATGTCAAACAATACGTTTATGTTTTACACGAAAATCAATGAAGTTTATATGAATTAAGAAAACGATTCCAATAAAAACAATTTTAATAAATATTACGATGATGAATACAAAATGGGAAATTTATTGAAATAATATTTTGTTTTAAAAACAAAGTTTAATGAAGGTTATGTAAGCAAAGAGGATAGCTGAAATGAGCATTATAAATGGCAATGACATAACGTTTAATTTATACTAATTTAATAAAATAGAAAATGACAAAAAGTACCATGAGAATTACATTTATCAGCATAGATCAAAAAGAAGTTCGATGTTTCTTTGTGTTTTTTTAGAAACAAGTGTCAAATTCATCTGATAGATTAACACAGTATTACCAGAATAATGGATCGCATAAATAGCAACTTCAAACTTCCACGATTGAATTAAAGGAATAAAGAAAAATAAAAAGTTGGTATTGAATCATCAAAGGAACAATTTTTTTTAAATGACAGTAAGAATAACAAGAAGCAACGAAAGCTAGAAGGTTGGATTGGAAAACAACAAAACATGAAAGTAATCGAAAGGTACCTGGTGGTATATTAGATAAAAAGTAACGCAAATTAGAAGGAAAAAATAGAACTTCGTTGATCAAGTAGCAATTGAATAATTGACTCCATAATAATCTGAATGATATTGTCGAATTGTGCAACACATAACCATTGAAAAGAGAAGACAAAATATCTATGAAAAAAAGAAAATTAAAATCAAATCATTATACATATCATCTATTCTCAAGATTTCGAAACAGTAATATTTAAAATAGAAAGGAGTTTCTTTTTGATTTAGTTTTTTTATAACTAAAATGACCTGTGATACAAGTGAATCGTAGGTTAAATGAAAGTAAAAACAATCAATGATGAATAGTTGTACCAACTCTATATGCTTGGAGTATAGCAAATACTTATTCAGATTCGTATTCATACCATAAATTGACATGACAGAGTGATACAAACTCTTAGGTGAAATGATACAAAATGTGACTGTTGCATAAATCATTGTGCTCATTAAATAAATATATATATATATATATATATATATATATTATATGAGTTCAGATTTCACGAATAGTCACATTTCATTAATGTGCATTTTCAATATATGCGTGCACATAAATGCCCATTTATCTACATGAACCCTTGTTTACTTGATATATCAATAAACCAAGTGAACACTTAAAACATAATTCATTGGAAGCTTGCCTTATACACTTTTGACCATTGAGTTGGCTAATCTTAAATATCTTCATAATATTTTCTACTGCTTTTTATATGTCACGTTAAATCCGCCTGGAGTCCCTCTGGGGCTACTGCTGGTCCCAAGCCCGGATAAAGGAGGAGGGTTGAGCATGGGGTTAGCGACCCCATCCCGTAGAAAACTAACTCGCTAAAATAACGCTAACCAGAAAAAATTATTCAAACCATTTAAACTCTGCCCTGGAAATCAGAAGGTCTTCATTTAAAAGAGTTACGACGCCTCATGGTGAAAACCGAGTTCCTTCGGAAGTCACGAGGCCAATGCCCCTTCCGACAACCAGAGCAACCATTTATTTAGGTACATGGAATGCTCGCACAATGTGGGAGACCGGGAGAGTCTTCAAATCGCTGCAGAAATGAGGAGATACAACCTGGAGGTGCTCGGAATCAGTGAAACACTGGACACAAGTCGGACAACAACGACCAGCTTCAGGTTAGTTTCTGTTATACTCCGACCATGAAGAAGAAAATCCACCACATACACAAGGAGTCGCATTGATGCTGTCCAAACAAGCACAAAATGCACTTATAGGATGGGAATCTCATGAACCAAGGATCAACAAAGCCTCCTTCAAAACAAAGAAAGAGGGCATTTCAATGAACGTCACCCAATGCTACGCGCCTACCAACGACTACAATGAAGACGCTAAAGATCAGTTCTACAATAGGCTGCAGTCAATCGTCGAGAAGTGCCCAACAAAGAACCTGAACATCCTGATGGGAGATTTAAATGCCAAGATTGGAAAAGACAACACCGGATATGAAGGCATCATGGGACGACATGGACTGGGAGAAAGGAACGAAAATGGTGAGAGATTTGCAAACCTATGTGCCTTCAATAAACGGGTCATAGGCGGCACTATATTCCCACATAAACGCATTCACAGAACCACATGGACTTCACCGGATCACACTACGCAAAACCAAATCGACCATATCTGCATCAACAAAAAGTTCAGGAGGACGATGCAGGACGTGACAACCAAGAGAAAAGCTGATATAGCATCAGATCATCACTTCCTGGTCGCCAAGATGAAGTTGAAACTCAAGAATCACCGGACAACGGAGCGGACAACACCACAAAAGCTTGATAGGACTTTCTTCGGAGTACTGACAAACTCAACAAATTTAAGATAGTCTTCAGTAATAGGTTCCAAGCCTTTCTTGATCTACTCAATGGAGAGAGGACTGCTATGGATAACAACTGGGAAGGGATAAAAAAGGCAATAACTTCAACATGTCATGAGCTTCTGGACCACAAGAAGCACCACCACAAGGGATGGATCACTGTTGATACACTGGATAAGATTCAAGAAAGGAGGAACAAGAAGCCAGCAATCAATACCAGCCGAACAAGAGCAGAAAAAGCCAAGGAACAAGCTGAACATACAAAGTAAACAAGGAGGTGAAGAGGAGCACCAGAACCGACAAACGTAAATTTGTGGAGAATTTAGTAGTGATGGTAGAAAAGGCTGCAAGAGAAGGAAACATGAGACAATTGTACGACACAACGAAGAAACTCGCTGGAAATCATCGTGAATCAGAACGACTAGTGAAAAGCATGAAAGGCAAAGTAATTACCAACATCGAAGAACAGCGAAACAGATGGGTAGGACACTTCAAAGAACTCTTGAATCGACCAGCTCCACTGAACCCACCCAACACAGATGTAGCATCCACGGACCTCCCAATCTATGTTGGCCTACCAACAACTAAAGAGATTTGCATGGTCATTAGCAAAATCAAGATTGGCAAAGCAGCAGGACCAGACAACATTCCAGCAGAGGCACTGAAAGCAGATGTAGTAATAGCTGCAAAGATACTGCACATTCTCTTCAGCAAGATTTTGGATGAGGAACAGGTGCCAAAAGACTGAAAAGAAGGACTTCTAGTCAAAGTACCAAAGAAAGGAGATCTCAGCAACTGTGATAATTACAGGGGAATCACTTTTCACTCAATACTAGGAAAGGTCTTCAACAGGGTATTGTTAAACAGAATGAAGGACTGCGCAGACGCCCAACTTCGAGACCAACAGGCACGATTCCGTGAGGATCGATTATGTGCAGACCGAATCGCAGCACTACAGATCATTATGGAACAATGAATTCAATGAACTCCGTCACTCTACATCAACTTCATTGACTATGAAAAAGCATTTGATAGCGTGGACCGAACAACACTATGGAAGCACCTTCAGCACTACGGCGTACCTAAGACGATAGTCAGTATCATACTTTATTCCTATAATTGGATTGAACTGCAAAATCGTGCGTGGAGGTTAATTGACAAAGTCATTCAAGGTAAAGACCAGTGTCGGGCAAGGATGCATACTCTCACCCTTTCTCTTTCTCCTGGTGATCGACTGGATCACGAAGACGTCAACATCTGAAGGGAAGCACGGGATACACTGGACATCTAGAATGCAGTTGGACGACCTAGACTTCGCAGATGATCTGGCTGTTCTATCGCAAACGCAACAACAAATGCAGGAGAAGACGACCAGTGTAGCAGCAGCCTCAGCAGCAGTAGGTCTCAACATACACAAAGGGAAAAGCAAGACTCTCTGATATAACACAACATGCACGAATCCAATCACAATTAACGGAGAAGATTTGGAAGATGTAAAAACATTTACATATCTGAACAGCATCATTTATGAACACGGTGGATCTGATGCAGATGTGAAGGCATGATCAGCAAAGCAAGATCAGCATATTTACAACTGAAGAACATCTGGAACTCAAAGCAACTGTCTGTCAACCAACACCAAGGTCAGAATTTTCAATACAAATGTCAAGACAGTTCTACTGTATGGGGCGGAAACTTGCACAACTACGAAAGCCATCATCCAGAAGATACAAGTGTTTATTAACAGCTGTCTACGCAAAATACTTCGGATCTGTTGGCCAGACACTATCAGCAACAACGTATTGTGGGGGAGAACAAACCCAATCCCGGCGGAGGAAGAAATCAGGAAGAAGCGCTGGAAGTTGATAGGACACACATTGAGAAAAACACCCAACTGCGTCACAAGACAAGCCCTCACTTGGAATCCTCAAGACCAAATGAGGAGGAGAGGAGACAAAGAACACTTCACGCCGAGAAATGGAGACAGACATGAGAAAAATGAAAGAGAATTGGATGGAACTGGAAAGGAAGGCCCAGGACAGAGTGGGTTGGAGGATGCTATTCGGGGGCCCATGATCGACTGGGAGTAACGGGCGTATGTAAGTAAGTAAGTAAGTAGGTAAGGCACTACAGCCAACACACCCTAATTTGTAGACGTGATTTTGTGTCTACACAAACGGGATCTTATTCTTTATACGAATTTAATCATTTCGAAGGATGTTAGTTGTTTTGTAGTATGAGTTAAATGTGTCGTGTCTAAAGGCTTTGTGAATTTCTACTGTTTTACAATGGCGGTAAGGCAGAACTATAGTACCGGTCTGCATGCCCTCGTGATATTGAGATACAGGTATCTTTGTTAATACTGTGATTTCTTTTACATTCTCTAAGTAGAAATGTGACTCCATTAAAATTCGAAGTCCAGCTTGCTTCTACAATCGGTAAAATGTCAAGTGCGACAAACTAACAGATTTGCAAAGTAAAATTTTCATCTACCGTATGACGTCGTTGACGATTTGTTGATTGCTGTAGTCTCCACTACCAATAGTGACTCAAATAAGATTAATAACGTTTAAAGCAATAAGTCCCTTTGATAAATTTGGATAGTGTAATTAGAAGATGAAGATTATCGGAATCATGTGATGTATTAGCGCAATACTTTTCGAACAATCCCATCGCACATATACTTGTTAAGAATACTTTTATATAGTTATAAATAGGCAACTGGATAAATGGAGGTTATGAGGAAATGAAGATAAGAAAGAAATAATGTGAAAAACTATGTGAAGCACATCACGATGGATAATAAACTGATATCTCCAAGGTAGGTTTAAAGTGAGAACAAACTATTTTTGAATACACAAAGGGGTTTTGAATTTTTATATGGCTAAGGCTTCAATAAATTTTAGTATATGTCGTTTAACACTCTTGTATAACACCACAAAGGCCGTGTTAATATCACTCTTATGACCTGCTTCAAATATATGTTTGGCAATTAGGGATGATGGATGTTTATCATCTACTCTTATAGGGTTTTTGAAACTATTTAGGTATATGTTCAGATAGCTTAATTTGAAGATCATGATTACTCCATCTTACGTATGTATGACCACATACATATTTGAATTGGTGGGACTTGACGCAATTGTTTTCATGTCTTTTAAGGTTTTTTTGTGAAACATGGACTTTATTTTTTTCTTTACTGCCTATTACGTTTTGACGATAACTGATTTGAACTTTTGTTTCAATAAAAGGCTACTTGACTCACCTTTAAACGGTTAAGTGACATAGACAGGCTTTTTGTGCCAAGACCATGGTAGGTTTCACTATACTATGACCTTTCCATCGATTTATGAATTCTAGAGGATAAACATTTTCCATTAATGTTTTGTTCAAAAACCGAACGTCATCATTAGCGTCATTTGTACAAATATTATCAATCCTGTTAAATAGGCTCCTTATCAAACCTCGTTTGTATTGAATTGAGAGATAACCATTATAATTAAGGTGCTGGTTTGCCTAAGTCGGTTTTCAAAAATTGATCGTTTGATTTCACTATCTCTTCTAATTATATGTCAAAGAAAGGAACCTAGTCGTTCTTCTCCTCTTAACATGGAAAACTGATGTGGTTTTGAAGAGGATCGAGTTTGTGCAGTAAATAATTCATATCCTCCTTTCACAGATAACTAAGATATCGTCCATATATCTCTTATAAAGTGATGTTTTCGATTCGGTCTTCAGTCACGTTATTAAGGTAATCTTATAAAAACAGATAATATGAAAGAAGAATATTTTTTTTCAGTAAATTTTCTTCAGATTCTAGAATTATTTATCCAAAATAATAATTCAAACAGTGACCCTTTTTCATTTAATAATACATCAAAATTAAGTCTAAGAAATATACGAAATTAAGCGGACTCAAATTTTAAACTGATATCATAATAGATTCTTAACGGCTAAAAGAGAACGTTTTGTATACTTCCCTCAATGTTAAATGATTATATCTTTCTACATGGAAATTCTATTTTAAGCAAGAAGGCAAGAGAGAATAAAATAAGGAAGCTATAAATAATGGATAAGAATCGAGCACTTATTATAATCGAGTTAAAACTTTAACACAAATTAAAAGAATAATGTAATGATGCTATTAAAATTTGTAAAATATACAAAATCCATGCACATAATTCCCTTTATGATTTTAAAGAGAGCAAGAACAAAGGTTGGTGCAGAATAATATGAATTCATTTTATTTCGTTTGGTTCTCATCAGCTGCTTACAACCTAAAATATTTGAAATTCAACGTTATTACAGTTATTGACATACTTATACATCAGAGGGTGACGAAGGATGAATATATGTAACATGATGTAGCAAAGATGCCGCTAGAATTGATGAGGTCATAAAATTTTTGTTTCGAATATTTAGAGTTTGGGAGGGAAGGTTTCATAACATAGAAATAGTGATTAGAACTCATGGAATTAAAACACATTAGATGATTATGTAATGAAGTAACTGAAAATAGATTAATGGTAATAAAGAGAGATATGAATTGAAATTGGTCAGTTTTGAATGATGTAATTATAATGTTCAGAAAGAGTTGGAATGACGTAATAAATAAAGGGGGGGTAATGTTACCAGGGCAAAGAAAGATTTATTACTGTTTCTTTTTGTATACAAAGATCTGGTTTTAAACGTTTGATTGCTATCGCTTCGGCAAATTTCAAATGGCTGGAATTTGATTGTTTGTTGATCACCTTGAAGGACTTCAGTATATCGATTTCGTGTCCTATGTCAAGGAGATGTCTTGCGATAGCGCTGCTGAATGCTTTTAGTCCGTTTGATCTCAAACTCTTCGGAATATGTTCTTTGAATCGGACGTAGGCTCTCCTTTCTGTTCTACCAATGTAACTGCTTTGGCAGATACATGTAAATTTGTATAAACAGTTGGTGGTAACATGAAAAGGATACCTGTCGAACTTTGTGTTAAAGAACATGTTGCTTTGGACAGGACAATCAATTTAGCTGCAGGATATGTTTTTGTCAACGCAGTTTTTAGTCTCATATTGATTGAGCCTGTGACATTATCACCTTTGAATTTGAGTTGAATAAAAACAGGTTTTTTAATTACTGTAGTTTTTTTGGGTATTTTATCTTCACGTTTTCCATATTCCTCAATAAATTTCAACGGGTATCCGTTATTTCTTAAACACTTTTTATCATTCATAACTTCCTCTTCTATTGTATTGGCAGTACATAATTCTTTCTGTTCTGTGAAACAATGTTTTTACAAGTGCCTTTTTATAATTGATTGGACAAAAGCTGTTGAAATTGAGATAAACCTCATTCCATGTGTCTTTCTTATAAACTGAGCGTTGAACTGTACAATCCTTTCTTCGTTTCATTGCGATATCGAGAAAAGGGAACTTGTTTTCTTTTTCATATTCCATAGTGAAATGAATATTTGGATGAGCTTCATTGAAAAACTTTAGCAGATTTGTTGCATGTTGTTGATTATTACATACGATGAAGGTATCATCAACATACCTCGAATAATACATCATTTCATCAATCGCTACTTTGAGTTTGGTTCTTTCGAGGTTAGCCATGAAAATGTCTGCTAGGACGGGGCCTAACGGACTTTCCATTGCTACACCATCGGTTTGTCGGTATATAGTATTGTTGAATTGGAATTGAACATCTTTCGAACATATGAGTAATAGATGTTTGAATTCTGTTGCTGGTAGAGGTAGGATGTCCGGATGCTGACAAATTATGTCTATGGCTTCAAGAAGTGGTATTTTTGTAAACAATGATGTCACATCAGAAGAAACCATAAACTTACCAGCAATATTTATGTGATTCATGCTGTTAGCAAATACAAATGAACCCTTTAGTGTATAGGTTGCTGATTGTTGACGGACTGGTTCTAATTTATCTGCCGGCCATCGTGCAATTTTGTGGTATGGTGAATTGCCCATTGACAGAATAGGTCTAAGAGGATTATCTTGTTTTTGTATTTTCGATAAACCATACATGTGGGGCAAACGAGACCCACGAGGTCGTAGGTTATTCTAAGTAGGATTATCGATCATCTTCTTTAGTAGGTTTCTGAGTACTTTCGTGATTCTTTTCTCAGTGGAATCAGTTAAGTCCTTGTTATTTTTTTCTAACTTGAATCTCGTTTGGTCACTCAAAATGAACTTCATCTTAGAGACATAATCTGTTGTGTTCATTAGAACAACACTTGAACACAAGAAACGTGAATCGCTTTACTGATAAATATTCTTGATATAAATGAAGAAACCAATACTTCTAATTTGATTTCCTTGATTGATATTCTTAGATTTGGACGATGTATAGAGCAAAATATTACGTAGTGAATAATTATGTCTACTGTTACATATCACTATCGACTGAGAAAAATCTGTCCTTTACACTTCTGGTTGTGCAAAATTTTTTTCTCTGAAAAAGCCTAAATTCATTTTCGGAAAATTTCTTAGAATAAATAAAAACGTCCTTAGAAAATACAATTTTTGATGAAATTTAGAAATTCCCTGTTGCTCATTCTTTGTCCATCTGATCATTTTAAGTAGCTAAGATACACAGGTGTTTATCAATACAAACTGAACATAAAACAAATGGAAGCTTATCAAAAGTAGTAGTGTAAAAATAATTTCGGAAGCAAAAAGTGGTTTAATTTATGAGAACAAGGTAATGTATACATATTCATTTTAAGAACATAAAAGGAATTCAAACCATACACTCTACGCTTTTAAAAAATTAATTCTTAAAAATTGACTGATTAATTTTGCAGGAAATATTTACGACAGAACTAAGATAAATAGTGTTTCATTGTTTGTTTACTTTTTACTACAACTTAACATGGGCCAAGCTTTTACAGCCAAAACCTTATAGTTTATTGGATTAAAAACAAACAAATTTTTGACATTGTTAATTTTATGTTTTTTAAACTTGGAGATAGTTGCCAGTGTATACTGGAAAATCGTTATAAAACTTAGAAATGTGATAAACGTGAAAAATAAAGTTCCAATGTATTTTTTTAAATCATCAGAATTTATTTGACTTGTAAAAAGATATATGTGTGAATGCATCCTATTTTTAATGTATATTTACACCTTAGACTAAACAATTTCATCTGTGCACATAGATAGACATATATACGAAGCATTTAAACAAAAGTCATATAAATTAATAACCTATATTAGTACATCGTATATCGTTTGCCGATTTACATAATAAACATTTAAATAAGTCAGTATATTCACTACAGTTCACTAATATATAGTCGGATATATCGCTAAGTACCGAATATGCAGTTCTGATTAGTAGTAATATTAATGCTAATTTTGTAATGTATGCGCATAAACGTAAACATTTGCTAATGTAAACAATAACTAAGATTAGATTAGTTTGTTAGGCAAAAAAATATACACTGCACTTTATATCTATATATATATATATATATATATATATATATATATATATATATATATATATATACATATATATATATATATATATATATATATCCGTATATTCATAAAGGTTTATTCATCCTATGCAATAAATGTAATGCCTACCATTTGTTTTTTTCTGACTATTAAAATAATTTTAAATATCAGATTGATCTGGATACGAAGGCATATGAAATTATTAGACTTTCTAATATCAGGGATAGGAAAATAATTAAAACAAAAGGAAAGCAAAGGATAATTATTGTGCAAAATGTACTAACAAATAAAAAGCCTACACTTTACAAAACCGAAATAATTTTGAGTATAATTAATCATTAAAATAACAAAATAAATATTTTCTCCAGAAGAATCACTATTTCTGAAACATCACACCGACTATACATTCAAGACTTTCAATTTCCTAGTTAAATAGAAAATTCCAGCCAAACTAAGTCAATATATATATATATATATATATATATATATATATATATCAGCATAGGGTTGTGGAGATTGTTTAGCTTTAATTGAGATCATGAACCGATCAATGTCCCACTTTCTCATTGGTGGTCGAACATATATATATATATATATATATATATATATATATATATATATATATATATATATATATATATATATATAAAGTAAATTGAACTATAAAACAAATACAACAGATATTAGTTCATCTTACTTCAAAAGCTGCAATAGAAACAGTTGCAAGGAATATAATGACCAATTTATCTTTCAACATTACTTTATATTTATCTTTGCAACCCTGGAAATAAAAATAACAGAAATCTCTGATACTTATAATCAAACAATAACGTCACAAACAAAATGTCATAGCATAATGGGTAAACAAACAATTAAAATAACATTAATAACACAATGAAGTTAATTTCACAATCAATTAAAAACAAAAAAACTGATACAAATAAATGAAAATTAAATGTATAATCTGTTTATATTATTGATAATATGAATATCGGAAATTAATCATATATTTTTTAATTCGAATAACACAGAATCCGTAAAATCTTTCGAAATTGTTTATATTTTGCAATCGACAGATGTAAACATGTATAAATACTGAGATTTTTTTCTCGCTCAAAAGTAAACAATGAATAAATCAATAAGCAGTCAAAATGAAAGCTTTAATTGTAAATTAGCCAATAAACATTGAAAGAAGAGGATTTCAATATTCTCAGTAAAAGAAAAGCAGGTATAATATATGAAATACTACTTTCCCAAGAATAACACTGTATAAATGTCATTATTATTGTTTATGAGTAGTTGTAGACTTTGACACTGGCAATAATATGAAGAAAAATGTGATCATTATTGATATTATAAATGCAATCAATCAATAAATAAAATATTGAGTAATTTCTGGAGTTGGTACCGATTGTAATCATAAACTGATATCAACTGAAAAATCACTGAAAGCTAAGAAACGTTAAACATGTTTCGTCATCGTTCTGATTCCATACCAATGTGCACCTTTGGATCTTTTGATACCATGATAAGCACATTAGCTTGAAAATGAATTTTCAACTACTATCAATCTGCATTAGAGTATGAAAAAATGTATGCTAAAATACTTTTCAAGTTAAAGATTGACTTTATAATCTGTCATATAAAAAATGTAACACTGACAAAATGAAGTGCAATAAATGCGAACAAACCAACTCCTACTTCCTAACAATTTTTCATTTAAAATGCTGATTATTTTTAAAACAAAAAAAGCTGAGTTCTTCACTAAATAAATAAGTAGTAGTAATCACGAAATTTGGACGAACAAACATCCCAGATCATTTAGATCTGACGAACTGCTAAATAGTTTAGCTAATAGTTATGGGCATAATACCCGTAAATAACAATTTGATTATATTTTTTGTTGCTGTTTTGGTATGGATGATTGTTAGAATAAGATTTGTTTTCTTACAACTTTATTGATTGACCTAATAAAACATTTTGGTAAATTTAGGGCATTTCAATCACGATTAATATTTTAAACAAATTCATTTTTCCGAGTTTAAAATGGAGAAATCACTTTATTAGTTTATTTCTAAACAAATGAAATCATTAACGAGAATGTAATAACTTGTCTAATCGAGTCGGCCAAGTCTGCACTGTGATCTAATGTTGAACAGCTGAAGGAAAGTAGGTTTCATAGTAGGGGTTACAACTTAGCAAGGTGTTTGCAACCTTTCCATAGAAATAAAAATACATTACTCAGCATCACAATTATAGGAAGTAGCATAGGGTTGATTAAATACCATGTTTATCTCATAAAAATAAAGTTATAGTCTTATATTAGTAGACATGTTATTTTGTAAGAGGCAAGAGTATTATCTATATCAGTTGTATCGTTCACAACAAGAACATGATTATAACTAAAATTTCTCAACATTTATCATCATCAGATCCAAATGGAATATTAACTCGTAACATAAACATTTCGAATAACAAAACATTAAACAAACCATGAATTCGTTATTCTAAATGGTTATTGTTCAATACCAAGATTTCAAGTATGTGGTCCTGGAGATTATCGAATTTCATTGAAATCACGAATCAGTGTCAGATCACCATTGAAAACCTGGAAGCACTGGATGGCCGTCTCGTTCTAGTATGGGACTACTTAGAAGTGCGCGCCCATAATCCTGTACGCAGGACTCAAGCACAAGACCTTCGGTCTCGCGCGCAAATAGGAGTCCAAGGCCTCCAGATTTTCAATGGTGGTCTAACTTATATCAGTTCATGATTTCAATGAAATCATACATTTTAATTCAGACTACATTCAATATCTAATATGTTATCTAATGGTGTCAATCTAATTAGTTCTTATCTGGGAATTACATATAACTATTTTACTATGTATTATTTCAACGTAATACTATTACTATCATTTTGACATGATTGTTTCTTTGGAATGCTTTAACTAATTAAACAATGCTTCTGATCTCATGTCGAGCTAAATATTTGAAAAACATCAGAGAGTAGAAAATGAGAACTCCGTGGTACGTAGGTCACTTAGTCCGAAGATGGAATATGTTGACCTTTACCCGTAAAATTGTAAACAATTATAACTTTTGGAATCTAAGCAATATTTGAAATTGTTTCATCAATAGTCGAGACCAATTACACCTGGTACATTACTAAACAGGAATTATACAGAAGCTTAGCAGTCTGGCGCTTCAACATCATAATTCGAAAAATATTAAATAGTGTCTTTTTAAATTAACATTTTTCAAACTAATGACGATTTTACCAAAAATAATCTTAAATTCACATAAACAGGAAAACCATAGTTTATGTACAATAAGCATATAAATGATCAGATAAGGAGGAAGTAAACAGGAATACAGTTGTCAAGACTTTAGGTTTTATCTAACATTAAGCAACAAATAAAGATCTCATGATTCAAACATACAGTACAACCTTTGATTAAAAATAATTCTGATTTGTTTTAAATTATTATTTGTAGAAGCTTGTAAACGAACAAACTTTCTGAAACCATAATAATAGAGAATAGGTTGTGAAATGATGAATTTAAATTTAATGATGAGTTCTATAGACAAACTGACAGAGTAGCAGTGCGGTCATCACCCACCCCATTTCTGGCTGACTGTTTCATTCTAAATCTCGAAAACATTAAAATTATACTAACAATTGATAGCTGCTATCTATATAGGAAATACTGATACTAAATGACAAAGATCTGAAGCCAAAACAACAACGTCAAGGGATGTCCACAGCACCGAATAAAACTCTTTTCATGAACACTTAGTTTAAAAGAGATAGTGCAAAAAAATGATGGAAAATTCACTTCCGAGGTCTCTTAGAAAGACATTCTAATGGTTGGAACCTCGTATTATCTTTTCTAGTCGTCCTATGATTCGTAGTTGTGTGGAAGATAAGCTCCCTCTTTGGGTCAAATCGGTGTGTATCTATCAGTTTGCTTCCTCATGTGAAGCAGGTTATATTGGCTGCACAAATTGGGCCATATCTAAACAGATTCCAGAACATTACCCTGTCTGACCTTCTAAACGATTACAGTAATCAACCAAAAGTTTCATCTTGTAGAAACTAATCAATTCTGGTCACTCAGTTTCATGAGAAGCCTCTTTCAAAATCATAAATACGGTCAGAGGAGCCGGCTACAGATGAATACAAATGAAAAACTTATTTATGTCAGAGGTTATAGCTATCCACTTCTTCAAGCCGAACCTTTGTGTACAAGAACAGTATATTCAGTCCCTAATGCTTACATGATTTTAAACATCCTTTTCTATCTTTCATAATCTACTGTTTTTTGTCATTATTTCTACTCTTTTCCGATAATTCTCATAACTGTTAACTAGCCATTATTATAACTTTTAATCATTCTGTTCCTAATAGCTAGCAAATAGATATTTATCTTCACTTTAGCACTTCTCACTAGCTCATTATTGCATGACTTCCTGTCAATATCTGATTTTCATAAACAATTCATTGCAAGTTAAGTTTTATCCAATAACAAGAATTAAACCGTTTATATTAAAATTCACTATTTAAGTAATTTTTACATATAGTTTAAAAAGAAACATAAGTATTCTTTTTCTTAAAGATAACACTAAGAATAATTCAGTTGCAAAACAGTGCATCAAATTACTCGTTGAATAATGTGGTGCCAATTCACACAAGTTTTAACAATAGATTCATTTCAAAGACTAAGAACCGATTACTATCATTTTTATAAATAAAAGCAAGAAATTAGTTTCAGTGCAGAAATAAAAGCGGATTCGAACTCTTTCAATTAATAAACACATTGAACATTTGACTGACTGTTTGTTTTAGCTTATACTAGTTTCAAGTATGATATAACAATGTACAGCTGAAGCTTTCAATGTACATATAAACTAGGATATGAAAATGAAAAACAGCCTTCGATTCCGTTTACTAAAAAAACTGGAAAATGTTTACAACGCATTGCACTCTAGCAATTGTAAAATCAATTATTCATAAATAATAATCTAATGTATACTTGAAACAAATGTTTTCAAAACAACTGTTCATATACCATGTCGATAACTTTCTAACTGAATATTTTCATTGTGTTGCACAATTAGTACATTTGACCTGATAAAAAGATCGATTTCAGACAAAGTGGACAGTATTTTCAGAACATTGTATTAATTATTACTTCTGTGGTTTTATAACACGTTTTGGTAATTGATGTATTTAGAAGGTACGGCTGTACAATTTTACATTCACAATAAGAGTAATTCAGAAGTATATGAGAGATACATTTTTCACTCTGATCTTTTATTACCTAAAGTCGATAATGTAAGACAAAAATAAACAGCACCATATTGTGTATACTTAACTGACCGATTCATCTAATTCGAATATAAAATCAAAACTACAACAGTTTCTAGGAGATACACTTTCCATTCCGAAAAGCAAACGTCGATATTAAATTAAATTAACAACCATCAATACATTGTACAAAAGATAAATGTGAACGCTTTACATAATATTCACAGAAAAGTGGATAGCTTGAGAAGCTTTAGAAAAATATTTATTCACCAAAATATAAAAAGTTTTTCAAGCGCTTAATAAAAATCTTCCTTTACGTCTCTATAATTTAGAATAGAGGCACCTAGCAGAATACTAACTTCTTTTCCTAAATGACGTAATTACTGCCGTGAACAAAAAGAGGAAATATTGAGATTATACAACTCGAAAGCGATCCACTCAGAGGAATACCAAAGCAAATGGTTTTTCAGAACATTTTACACAAAGTTCAACTGAATAAATTAAAAATCATGTTTCACGCACGACAGCTATTAGCTCTGAGACTGTGGAATAAATTGCCTAAAATAGTCACCTGTTTGCGTACCCCTCAATTCAACTGCTCCCATTGAGTGAGTTAATCCGAAGGTTGTTTCAAGTATTAACTTTTCCCTTACTCATGAACAGTACTGCTAAGTAGATGCGCAGTTATATTGTTAGTACTTCTATTTTATTCTTTCTGGTCTAAGCGAACCATGAAGGCAACACTAACTAGTTACTTTCAACAATTTAATATATCAAGAATAGATTACAAAAATTACTTGATACGTCTGATGCACTAAAAACCCTTTTGTAAAATATTTTAAAAATCTGAATTAATCTGATTTAATTGATTAGTTCGCATACACTTGAGTAAATTCTTTATCACTCATTCCACATGTATGATCTCTAACTTAATCCATATAATTTTATGTATATCACAATCCCTGAATAATCCTTAATCATGTTATTAATTCTTTTGCACCACGTTACCTGTATTTATTCCAATTATTATTCGTATGATTTCGTTTGTCTTACAATGTCAGTGCAACATTTACAAGCAATCCTTAAATTCATAAACTGGATTATTAGAAATTCATGTCGTCAAATCAGCGATACATTTTGATTAATAATTTGAAATAATAATTGTTGAACATAAAAATTTACTGAAAGAAATACTCTACGTTCATATGTATTTGCTTTAATTATTAGGAATATTTAATTACTTGATAACATGAAATCTACCGATAGACTGAAAAAATTAAAATGGATAATGCAATTTATGCAATTGTAATGATGAATAGTAAATGAAGAAGATAGTTAAATACTTTAAATGTTTATTGAACAGAATAACGCAGAAACTCATTAAGGAACTTAATGAGTTTATTGAATACTCCGATGTCATTAAATCAATAGTGTATAAAAAGGATAGGAGCAGTACACTATTGAATAAACTAGTAAAACGATTCAATAGTTGATTGAACGTCAATTTTAAATTTGTGCATAATTGTAAAGATCTTATCTGTATTACAAAAGAAACTGAAGTTATACTTGCTGATTAACGTGCTTTTAATAATTTTGCAGTTACTTTGTAAAAAAACACGTTGGATACATGGACATTACTCAGGAAATGGATAGTCCCTAAAATATATTATTTATGTTTACGTATAAAAATTTATTTTGATTGGCAGATAAGAGATGTTGAAGCATTTCTCTGCATAATTCAATTACCGATATGTAATACACAATTTTTCTGTCTATTAAAACCATTTACTTGTTGAGAGAACTAGTTATTTTTAATCATACAACTTATACCCGTACAATGATTATGATTTTTTTTAAATTTCTGATAAACATAGCCACAAAATCTGTAATTCTAACTTGAAGGCAGTATTAAGTATTTATTTAGTAAATCTTATTATCTGTTTTCCTAACTACCTAGTTAGTTCTACTAAATTAACTGTCCCCAAATGAATATATATATATATATATATATATATATATATATATATATATATATATATATATATATATATATATATATATATATATATATATATATATTTAAAACCTGCTGGACACAACAATCAAATTAACCTTAAAAAGAGTATGTTTATTATCATTTTTCTTGACAACTTGTAAAAAATATAACACAATGTTATCGATCTACATTTCACTTAATACCAGTTTGATATAAAACCGGCTAATAATAGTGAAAATGATAATTGCAAAACCGTAGTACGAAGGCGATATCTCTCAAACGCGCTCTGTTGAAGTCATTCATTTAGATACCGAACTCACCTTCAAGTGCGTTCAACCTGTAGTTCGTTAAGGCGTAAAGAAAAATATCGGAAAAAAGCCTTCCCCTTGTCAGTTTCTTTCTAATTTGAAAAAGCTGTACACTAAAAACTGTTGCAGGGACTCTAATTGATTAACACAACTTCACCTTCAACACTTAGTGTGAAACCAATAACAGTGTGACCCGACTTCCAAGCTATGAGGTGTCCAGAAAAGCCCACATGAATCGAGTTTCTGCTACAGTATATATCCACACCGAAACTTTGGGAATTTCCAGCTACACCTGTCTTCCATCTCATCTGCATCGGCATGTGAATGCTCAGTATGTAAATTTCAAACAATGCCTACGGTTTAGGAATAGCTATATTAAATTTCCAATAAATTGGTCATAGGCGGTACAACATTTCCACACAAACGTATACACAAAGCTACGTGGATCTCACCGGACCACACCACAGAGAACCAGATAGATCACATTTGCATCAATAAAAAGTTCCGAAGGAAAATGGAAGATGTGAAAACCAGGAGAGGAGCGGACATAGCTTCAGATCATCACCTGGTTGTGGCCAAATTGAAACTGAAGCTAAAGAAGAACTGAACAACTGGACAAACAGCACCACAAAGGTTCAATACAGCCTTCCTTCGAGATACTGACAAACTCAATGAATTCAAGGTAGCTCTCAACAACAGGTTCCAAGCCTTACAGGATCTACTGAACGAAGAAGAAACTACTATGGAGGATAACTGGAAAGGTATCAAAAAACATTAACTTCAACGTGTCAAGAAGTTCTGGGCCCCAAGAAACATCATCACAAGGAATGGATCTCTACAGAAACACTGGACAGGATCAAAGAAAGAAAGAACAAGAAGACAGCAATTAACAACAGTCGAACAAGAGCAGAGAAAGTCCAAGCACAAGCAGAGTGCATAGAAGCAAACAAGAAAGTGAAGAAGAGCATTAGAGCTGATAAGCAAAAATACGTGGAAGAACTAGCAACGACGGCGGAAAAAGCTGCAAGAGAAGGAAATATGAGACACCTTTACGATACGACGAAGAAGCTTGCAGGGAAATACAGTAAACCAGAGAGACCAGTCAAAGACAAAGAAGGAAGACCAATCACTGAGATTCAACAACAGCGCAACAGATGGGCAGAGTACCTCGAGGAACTCCTGAATAGGCCGGCTCCAATGAATCCACCGGACATCGAAGCAGCACACACAGATCTTCCTATAAATGTCAATCCACCAACGACAGAAGAAATCAGAATGGTCATCAGACAAATCAAGAGCGGGAAAGCAGCAGGACCTGACAATATACCAGCTGAAGCACTGAAGTTAGACATCGAAGTAACTACAAGCATGCTTCATCTTCTATTCAAGAAGATTTGGGAGGAGGAACAAGTGACGATGGATTGGAAAGAAGGACACCTCATCAAGATTCCAAAGAAAGGAGATCTGAGCAAGTGTGAAAACTACAGAGGCATTACACTACTGTCAATACCGGGTAAAGTCTTCAACAGAGTGTTACTGAACAGGATGAAAGACGCAGTTGACACTCAACTTCGAGATCAACAAGCTGGATTCCGTAAGGACCGGTCGTGCACAGACCAGATTGCGACACTACGGATCATCGTCGAACAATCAATTGAGTGGAACTCGTCACTCTACATCAACTTCATTGATTATGAGAAGGCATTTGACAGTGTAGATAGGAGGACGTTATGGAAACTTCTTCGACACTACGGAGTTCCTGAGAAGATTGTCAACATTATCCGGAACTCATACGACGGACTACAGTGCAAAGTAGTGCATGGAGGACAGCTGACAGACGCATTCCAAGTAAGGACCGGAGTAAGACAAGGCTGTCCACTCTCTCCCTTCCTGTTTCTTCTGGTGGTCGACTGGATTATGAAGACCTCGACATCTGAGGGAAACTACGGCATACGATGGACAGCTCAGAACCAATTAGACGACTTGGACTTCGCAGATGACATAGCCCTCCTATCACATACACACGAACAAATGCAGATAAAGACAGCCAGCATAGCAGCAGTCTCTGCATCAGTAGGCCTCAACATACACAAAGGGAAAACCAAGGTCCTCAAACACAACACAGAGAACAGCAATCCAATCACTCTTGATGGAGAAACTCTGGAAGATGTGGAATCCTTCACATACCTGAGAAGCATCGTCGATAAACAAGGAGGTTCAGATGCAGACGTCAAGGCGAGGATTGGCAAAGCTAGAGCGGCATTCCTTCAACTGAAGAACATATGGAACTCAAAACAACTTTCAACCAATATCAAAGTCAGAATCTTCAATACCAACGTCAAGGCAGTTCTACTGTACGGAGCTGAAACTTGGAGAACTACAACAACCACCATCAAGAAGGTACAGGTATTTATTAATAGCTGTCTACGCATGATACTCAACATCCATTGGCTGGATACCATCAGCAACAGCCTTTTGTGGGAGAGAACCAACCAGCTTCCAGCTGAAGAGGAAATTAGGAAAAGACGATGGAAATGGATAGGACATACATTGAGGAAATCATCAAACTGCATTACGAGACAAGCGCTAACTTGGAATCCTGAAGGGAAGCGGAAAAGAGGAAGGCCAAAGAACACATTACGTCGGGAAATAGAAGCAGATATGAAAAAGATGAATAAGAACTGGAAAGAGCTTGAAAGGATTGCCCAGGACAGGGTTGGATGGAGAATGCTGGTGAGCGGCCTATGCTCCTTCACGAGGAGTAACAGGCGTAAGTAAGTAAGTAAGTAATATTAAATTTCACACTGAGAGACAATTTCTAGAAAGCTACCTCATAGTTTATTGAAAATCAGTAAGTCGAATCCACGTCTACACAGCTTTGCACAAAACATACTATCTTAACCGTAATAGTAAATACATACTAATGTTATATGCTAACAGACATAAATTCTCTCATCAATAATATTTAGCAAAAACTACAAACTTATATGACAGACAGTCATTTAAATGAAAAGTTCATATGAATGTTCAAAATTTGTGAAGTGAGAGATTTTATCAGTATTTTAACAAAATTGCTTACTTCTTTATAAACTTCTTCGGGTGACAGTAATGCATTTAGACATGTGCTTACATGATGGTCACAACATGCTATGGGTATACTTTCACGGTAATCTTCGTAACCATTGACACCACAACAGCGCAACTACACAAAGATGAAAATTAACAAAGTGAAAGTATTTAGATAGAGAAAACAAAACCCGCTTGTCACTTTGTCCAGTTAGAAAACGGACAGTCACAAAAAAATCGTTAAACACACAGGTATTAGGCATTTGATTTTGTACAATTTATTTCAATCACATGATAATGAATATACATTACAGTCATCTGTATATAAACAAGGAAGTTCACAAGTATCCATCAATATGAGAAATTTAATTTAATTAGTAAAAATATGGGGATTCAATCATTCATTAACTGCTTTGTTTAAACAAGTTTTTTTAAAAGTTGATATTACACACACTTCACTTTTACAAGAATGAGAGGTTTAGACCAGTAAGCAGTTCCCATACAGAATGTCACATTAATCGTGAGTGAACTCTAATTTGACATTTTAAGAAGTAAACGAGCAAAACATATTTACTTTTTCAATTCTCACTACTCTTAATAGCCCCTTAGTTGATCAGTTTGATGCTGTGTAAACTATCTGATGGCAAACATGTAATCACTTGATTAGAACGCTTTTACAAGTAAATATGAAAACTGATAATCAACATCAATGCCGTCTATTACAAACTTTGAACTGAATTTTAAATATTGACATCACTTCATATATACTCAGCTTTATACATTGATGGAATTCTGATTCTTTCGTAGTTTCTTTTCACTTTCAACCTGAAAACAATTGTACAATTTAGTTAAGACATATCCATATACATGGAGATTAGCAAAATCAAGTCAGTAAGTGAATAAGAATTCTAGAAAACACATACATGTTAACTAATAAGAAAATTTAGAACACAAGTTTCTCTAAAATGAAAATTTATGTAAAAAGGAGCGTGATAACGATTTTAGAAACGGGTATATTAATAGAATAAAATAAGTAAAGCCAAGAAAATGACACAAGAATGAAGGAAAGGAATTTATAGTTGACAGCATGAAATAAGGTATGATGTAGTTTGTTGATGGGAGTTAACGTCATTAGGGTGATCCGAGTTATATAAGTATATCTCCTTTAGGATGCCTGGGATCGGTTTAACCCTTCTGATAGACAACTACAGCAAAACATTAAAAAAATTCGAAGTTGCTTGTGTATTGATAATTTGGGAAGATTTTGAAAATCATTAATCACTAGAGTACTCTCATAATCCTTTTATATTTTTTCGCATTTTTACCAGTGTTCACTATTATGATGTAAAGTATTAATACGGGATCTAAATAATTATTACTACTGTACCAAGGTTTTAAGCAGCTGAAGAAAACCTACGAGATGAATAAATTTACATTTTGCTACCACATTCTTTGTCATTATTTTATTCAAATTTATCTAGGGGAAAACTTTACAATAAAACATTCAGCTATATTGTCTACTTAACAAACAAGGCATATCCTGATGTAGTCGTCTGAGTTATTATTTACAAGGATAAAACGTTATGAAACGACTAATTTTATACCCCTTACATACAGTAAACCCCGTCAGACTTTATGATATCACATGAAACTAAACTGAAAGCAAACGTATTCTCATTGTTTTTCTTTTTATTGATGAGATTCTAAAAATTTAAATTTCACATTAAATTGAACTTTTGAATAAAAATAATTCACAACAGATCAGTTACAGTGACTGAACTAAAAAACGATTAACGATGCCGTGTATATTTTACTTAAATATCGAAATCATGTAGTTCTATGATTACTAACTGAGATGATGGAGAAGATTTGTAGCTCAAGTGGATGATTTTGATGGAGTTTTGTTTTCTCAGCTGATTGGTTTGTTCGTGGAGACTTCATCGTTCTTCTGAACGACATCATCTGCACAAACTTCAGGTAGAAGTACCTCCATCGAAAAAAATTGCTGAATTTATTAAAAGCTTAAATAATAAATATCAAACAAATTAATATGAAATTTAATTAAGACGAAAATCAAAAACTTAAAATGTTAGTACACTAAGCGAAACTATATTTTATTTGCTTTTCTTATTCATGTGTCATGTTTCAGACTGGTGAGAATAATTAATAAAATTTATGAATAAATCTCGCATGTGAGAGCAATATAAATAAATAATACACTATATAACTTGGTTAGTTTTAGCGAGTATTTTTTATTTACATTCAATGTCTAGAAACAAAAACAACAAATATCAGTAAACAAGTTTTAACACGAAATAATATCGATAAAATTTTTCTGAGAAAACAATAACTTACCATACGTTGAATGGAATCCATAAACGGTACGGGATTTTCACGTTGATCACGTAGCATTGAGTACTCTTCAATACCTTCTCTCATACGATCATCGACATATTTCATAATCTATATTTAGACGAAAACTAATTATTGTTATAAACACTTTTTATTTCTGTGCGTTAATAAGAATGAAAATGTATATTTACTACAAAAAATGACTTTTCTTACTTTTCATCAAATTAATGTGTATATTTGAAAACCTTAAAAATAAAAACAAGCTCCAACGAATTCTCTACTTTATTATCATTTTTTTAATCAATTACATGCGTGAGAAATTGTAAGCTAATTTGATCGAAACATAAGATAAGCTAGAGTACTATAGAAGAGATTAATTATGCTAATAATCTTATAAAGCGGGTGATAATAAATTAGTTATCAGATATCTGAGAATACAAATCAATCTTTCCATAACTTTCAATGTCCTTACAAATGATGGTAGTCAGTAACGAAAGTTATCAACACATTTATCTCAAAAAGTCATTTTTTAAGCAGATACTCATTAGTTCTGAGCATAGATAATATAAGATGAAATATTAGTGAAATAAATTTGACTTGTATTAAATGTTGCTTAAAATAGACGATTATAACGATTCTTTGTAAATTGAACAGATTTCGTTATTAAAACATTGAAAGTAATTCACCAAATAAATTTATGTTCTTAAACTAATCAATCGGTAAAACACGTATTGTAGCAGCACCCTGACTATCAAAACTACAACAAATGGAAGGAAACAGAAACTGGTTATCCATTGGTAAAACTTAGAATGTTTACTTAATTAAATAACATGTAGACAGATGAACTCAGTATAAATAAGAGACTGTCATCAATGATAATGTGATATCTGTTAGGACACACAAGTATAAGCTATATATAGTGCTTCAAATCAATAGAAAGTCAAACCGATTACAATTGAATTTCATATTTTAAGTTTACCATTCATATAATGTGGTATATAAAATGGCGAGTCATGCAAAAAAGATAATTACATGAATTACATTTTCAGCATATAAGCTTAAGAATACAGAAGGAATATTCTCAGTCTAAACTTTAATCCCACTACACGACAATTTCAAAAACTACAAAAACATCTTTGTTACTGTGGCGTGTGCTACTTATGTAGACATAAGTAGTATATGACGTGAGTACTGAACAGAATGTCTGGCAGCAGAGAGACGAGAAGATCGAACAATAAAGAATGAAGAAAGAATGCAATTTGTATGAAAATTCAAGAACAAAGGAGTTCTGAGTCATTTGAGACAATTGGTGAACAATTTGCAAATTAACGAGTTAATATATGGTTGTTGGATTTTACTAACTAGTTCTGTAATTTGTTGTAAATCATATTCGATTGTCCCCACCTGTGTTCCGTTCACTACATTACCATCAAACAGCAAGGTGACGCCACTCACAGTATTATTTATTTTAGAAAAATTCAGAACAGTGCTTAACGTGTTTATGTGGTTTATTCGCAGTAGACTTTAGTTGAAATACATAAAGTATTGAACAATACACGATACATAGGTTTGCCACTTACAAACTTTCCACCTGTAACGTAACAATGCAGTAGGCGTAAATCACTGCAAAAAGGTAGCTTAACAGATATTTAAATATAAGTCAGGTCAGAAAGAGAACATGTTCGACGTTCTTATTTGTGGTAGATTACTGTGTAAGTTACCTATAAATTATAGTAGTGAACAGAACAACAATGGGGGACAAACGAATGTATTTGATAACAAATTACAGAACTAGTTAGTAAAATCTAACAACCATATATTAAATGCTCAATTTGCAAAATGTCCATCAATTGTCTCAAATGACTCAAAACTCCTTTGTTCTTGCATTTTCACACAAGTTGCATGCTGTCTTCATTCTTTACTGTTCGGTCTTCTTGTCTCTCTGCTGCCAGACATTCTGTTCACGACTAACATCATATACTACTTATGTCTACATAAGTAGCACACACCACAGTAGTAGTACAGGTGGAGAACCATTACACTTCGGAAATTACTACATTCAGATAAACGATAAATCTAAATGTTAAATTTTAGACTATTAAATTCTTTCAAAGTGAAGACTTCATTGCACTACACAAAACTTATCCAATATTCTTTTTATCAAACTATATAGATCATATAATCTTATTTCTTCATAAAGGCGATGAGATTAAAAATCGTTAATCGAACACCACTTTTTATAAAGATCTGGCATTTGTTGATGTACTTATTACTTATGTATGTTCTTTAGAGATAAACAGTAAAATATGTAAACAATTAATTTGCTATCTTGTCAAATGATTTATTTAAAATTTGGATAGAAAATAATTCACTGATTAGAGATGTTCCCTTCCTTAGGTTTATACTAAAAGTAGCATCAAGATTCGATTTATTAATTGATACTCTCAAAAAACATTTACAGACAAGTACATCAAAATATATCAACTCATATATGATAAATCTTTTATAATAGGAGACGGGTTATGTAGGAAGTTTTACAACATCCATTATAGCTAACTAGTTTAGATGTAAACTGATTTTAAATGATTTCTTACAACTACTCCTTACCAACCGCACTAGCATGAAAGAATAAAATATTCGAATCATGCATAATTATATTTTTGTACTCTTTCATTTTACGGATATCCCGTGCATTAAACAGCTTAAATATGTATACATCTGTGAGGACAGGAAAACTAAGCATATTTATTTATGCACATAATTAATTAATGAATAAAGTTAAGCATTGTTAAGTGAAGTTCTAGTTTTTATATACATAGTATTCTATGAGTTTGTATCTGGAAGTTGTTCAATTATGGATTTACGTATTGGTAGGATGTTTAGATACTCATTCGAGCTGCTTTGCATACGCTTATACATGTAATCGTATATTAACCAATTACCAATAGTTCAGATTTACAAAAACGCATACCTTTTAATGTATTTGTATGTGTGCTTATGTTATTTCTATATCCAATAAGAATCTTTTCTCTTAACTTTATAACCTAACACTGAGGTAATGAATAATTATGATAACTAATAGATGAAATTTCTCTCTGGTTACCTGAAGTCTATCTACTAAAGTAAATTATTTTTGATTTTTAGGATTCATCTGTGAACAAATATCACCTACAGCATGTTCTGATTAATTATTTAGTGAAATTGAGTAACCTGAAAGTAGAAAAGTAGTACCGTGAAATAGTATGTATGTACGATAGTTTGTTGACCTTATATTAAATATAACAGAACAGTGTAATTTAACATGTAACTATTCAGATAGATTTAGCACTCATTTCAAAAATATAGCGGATTCTGATAGTAGTGAAATAGAACTAAAATTATTCCTTCAATACCAGTTAAGAATACTACATTTTGTTTGAAACCTTGTGTAGTATATAGTACCTTTACATTGGACATAATCAAACATACTAATCAGGATAACTAGAAACGTGATTTAACAATTAAATGTTGTGAGCCTATTGCTCGACGGTTTGTGGTGTTCACGTATATTTTATCCATTGCAATTCACTCATCAACGTTGCGGAGTTGATGAGTGTAGTTATATATTACGTAAAAGATGCAATTCTCAAAGTAATGAGAAAACAAATAATTAATAAGCTGTTTTATTCATCTATTTATTTTCACTACTTACTATAGAATTTCTAAGGATTCGACAGTTAAAAATATTCTTGTAACTAAAGTAAGCCCTTCGTACCAATTACAATTTCCTATTGTGTTTTCTTCAAAACTGGTTTGACCAGTTGCATAAAATAAAATTGAAAAATGGAGTACAAGAGATAGTTGTTGTAACACAGTCACATGAGAGACAACTACATGAAACCACATTGTTTGATACTGAGGGGGAAATATTCAGACCAATCTATTCATGTTACTACATTATAGTTATTGCTCAGACTTTGAGAATAAACTGATCGTTATCCGTCAGCCAAACCGAAGTACTTCTTGTAGTTTTGATATGATAATTATTAGCATCTACAAATGCTTGTATTTCATAATGCTATTAGTCCTAGCAGTATCAAAAGTCTACAAATGCTAGATCAGAAAACGTTGATAGATAAATCAAATGAATGTAGGGAAATAGCCTTCTTGAAAGATTATACAATATTCTTCTGTATATTATGCCAATGTCGAGATGGTGGAGATTTGTGACCCATGTGGATGATTTTGGTGGAGTTTTGTTCTCTGAGCTGGATGGTTTGGTCGTGGACTTGATTCTCCATTGATGTTGTTTGATGTTTGTTTTGCGTTGACAAGCTCGTTTAAAGTCCTCGAGCTTTGGTTGTCTAACCTTTTGACCGGATTTGTGTGCATTGGTTTGTATACACTTTTATTCTCAATTAGTTCCTCGACTTTCCTGATATATGCATGCTTGTCCATAATCACTTCTTCTCCACCATCTCAAAATCTTGTGAGCGTGGTGCGCCTTTCGTTGTTTGAAAATTAGAGAAATTTACCAAAAGGTAGACTTTCACTCGAGAACAACTGTATTTTCTCCACGAGTGTCTTCTTAGGTATGTTCTGCCAACAAATGTAAGATACAGACTTCCAATCAACTACCCAATGGGATGAAGAGTACCTGACCAAAGTGGAAGAAAAATGGTACACCTAATGATAACTGATGCATGCTACAGGATACACAATTACCAACACGTCATGAATGACCAAAAGAGGATGCTAGAGAGGATACTCACATCAGAACATTTATAAACCTTGACAACAGCCATTGAGATATCATGCAGACGGCACAGAGAACAAAGAAAAAACACCGCTAAGAACAAAACTAATCAGGAATCCAAAACCACCCACTGAAGAAAACACAAACAACTGCGTGGTCAACCTGTCAAAGTGACCGCTGACAAACATAGAACATCAGCTCCGAAAAAGACTAAACTACAGTACAAGCAGCGCACCAAAACTAGGATTCTTCGTCGCACTAGAGTCATCATTCAAAACTGCCAGAATAAATGAAGAAACCTGACAGGAAATAAGACAAACCATAGTACGGCTAGCTTGACAGAAGAAAGACAACAGCCAACCGACTTCACAAGGATAAAAAGCCTTAAATAAACCTAGAACTAGAGAAGACATTATCATACTTCCAGCAGACAAAGAACGCACCACAGTGATTGTGGACAAGCATGAATATGTCAGGAAAGTCGAGAAACTACTTGAGGATAAAATCGTATACAAACCAATGGAGACAAACACAGTCAAAAGCTTAGATAGCCAAATCTCAAAGACTTTAAACAAGCTTGTCAAAACAGGACAAATATCAAAGCAAGATCAATGAAGAATGAAATCCAATGGACTAGTACTACCCTAGATTCTATAGCACGCCTAAACTACACAAACCAAACATCCCACTAAGTTCAATTTTAGCCCCCCCCGGAACACTAACATACAATTTGTCAAGAGAAATTTCACGAACATCGAAACATTCAGAGCATTCATTCCATCAGATCTCCCATATAATTTCTGCATAACATTAAGGAGATTCAAGTCAACAACGATGAACTGATAATATCCTTTGATGTACCACCCTTATTCACCTTAATTGAGTCAAGCTTAACAAAGGAAACTCTATCCCTGCTTTTCAGCAGCGACACAAATCTCCCAAAGTACACAGGGCCTCAAGGTTAAAGTTTACCAGAACTCACCAATTTATGTCTAACATATTTTTAATAAAACAACAAAACCTAGGAACAAGCGAAAGAAACGCCGATGGGATCACCAATATCAGGACTTATTGCAAAAACAATGATGCAGAGACTGTAAGTCTCGATCAAGCTAAAGCGATGGATTCGTTATGTGGACGACACATTCGTCATCACCAAAAAGGACGAGCTAGAAAACACCTACAATCTGGTCAATAACGTCTTTGACGACAAAACGTTCACGATGGAACAGGAGTCAAACAACAAACTACCATCCCTGGATGTATTAATAACCAAAATCAAAACAGGAAAACAGGAGACTCAAGTATTACGGAAGCCGAACTATACAGGTCAAATTCTCAATTATAATAGCAGCAACCCAACAACACACAATCCATTGCATATAAACTTTATTCAAGAAGGTGAGGATACACTGCAACACACTCGCAGCGCAGAAAACAATTATACCAATGTATTTTCAACCCATACACAACTAGTTGTTGAATGGACGCAAAAATATTCCAAAACACTTGCCTCTTGATGGAACACAAAAGCAGGATAATGAATAATTGCATAGCGGCAAACAAGTCACAATTATAAATTTCGCTTTGAGATAGTGAATCATAAAATAACACTCAAATAAGAGATCAATAAATAAAATGTATTCTAAACAAAGGTAACTCTCACCTCCTCTCTGTATAAATAACCCAATGTGGCTCCTGTTACTTGAGTTGCAAAGATCACTATTAGAATAGTGAAATATGTTCCCAAAAGACACTGCGATTCATGGTAAGCACCACAACAGCCAAACAGTGCTATTACTAAAGTGATTCCACCGATGCCCATAAGAGCATACAACATTATTTGTACCGCATGTTGCTGTCCCGACGCAAGTATGATGTCTTGTGCCTCTGGTTCCAGATAGATGTAAACAGAAAAGCCCAAAACTGCCAACCCAATAAGCTGAATGAATGAAGGTGTAACCATAAAAATTTAAACAGACGTTTTTTTGTTTTAATTCAACAAAAACATTAATTATAGTTAAACAAAAAAAATAATGCACTATTATATTATTTTGATTTAAGGAGAACTATACTGGAACGAAGTGTTTAACTGATTACCGGATGTTAGAAACATCCAACTACACTCTAAAGGAATACCTGTTTACTTAACTTCTTAAATGATCGAGCGTTTACGGTTACTTTATTTAAATAATATCTCAGTAGCTTCAGAAGTAACTACGTCATATAGTGTAACCGAACACATCGTATAACAATAGAGAAGTAATTTACAGCCAATCACAAGTCACCTGTCGAGACTTGTAAAATATGTACAAGCTTTAGCTCTAAATTCCGAGACCCGGAACAAAAGTGATACACTTGAAATATATCAAAATATTTTGTGTCACATATACGGAGTCAAAAACTGATGCGCAAACTTCCCCCGCAACATCAATGACACTTCTGTACCAAATAACTCGAAAAATTCCCAATAGTTAGTTGGTGATAGAAAAGTCACTGAATCACCTCCAGCTAAAAAAATGTATGTGTTACCATTTTAAACAATGTGGGAGATATTTTATCGTCAAATCGGCTATTCAGTCTGAATGACTGATCTAAAAAGAAATCAGTTAGATCAGTCTACGGGATACGGATTTTATTTAACAGATAAAAAATGTTAAAGATACTACAGAGGTTTGTAGTAGACATCGTCCATGCATTCCCATTGCTTTGTAGCGAATCAATATGGTTTTACTATGAAAGTTATGTCAACACCTCTATACAAACCGAAAAAAAATACTCAAGACGGTTCAGATATTATTATTATTGATCCAATCTTTTAGAGAAATATTGATCAAATAAACACAGGATTATATTACAGTATTTGCCAGGGAGTAAATCAAATTACATCAATGCCATTAATTTATTACTTAGAATTGCTAACTTTATAACTAAATTAGCTTAAAATTTTCGAAATATTTAATAAATAACAGTTATCCTTATGGTGAAATTTCGTCGTGTATTATTGAATTCACAATCTTTTCAAAAGAAAAATCCACATTTAAAAATATTCTGATGATATTATATAATGCTTACCACAACCAGGAAGTTAAAAACTACTAGTATGACTCTTAAACATTGTATACAGCCCTTCATAATGAAAACACCGTCAGTAGTTTGAAAAACCGCAGATCAATGACGGTACGACAATCATACTTTGAAAAAGTAAAAAACCGTGTTGAAAATCAAAGTTCGTCATATGGTATAAATAGTTTATTGTTATATTTCAAATGAAAATGGTATTCTTATGTAGTTACTTGTGTTCACACTTGTACTCACAGTACAGAATACACGGGGCACATTTCTAGTGTGTTTCTATGTGGTTGGTATTCAATTGAATGAATCCATTGAAGGTGAACAAATAACTTCTACCATGATTCCCTTCTAACAATTAGTTACTCGTCAGGAAAATTTAATTCATGGATATTCTGTTCGTTCTCGGCTAATAAACTCTTCAGTTGTATCCTTTATATCATCCTAACCTATTTGAAAGAAAATGAGGATATGTTAGGTCCAAAATCATCTATCAGTATCTTGTAATATATTATTAAGTCTCCCATAATATGACGCATAAAGTTATGAACTCTCAAACCTCTTGTGGTTAGAAAAGTCATACTTCTGATGAACGGAGCGGATAATTGTCTTCGTTGCTTATCCCAAGAGATCTGCATTTAAATTCCAACAGAAAGCAGATATTATGCAGTTCCAAATTTTGTTTCTCACCAAGGCTGAATAAATTGTAATGCAAATATTCTTCTTAATGTTGGTCCAAGTTCATTTGAATGCCCTTCCCTTTTTATATCTTCAACCCACAACCGAATGACAGTGAATCCTGGTCTTCAAGCCATCACCCACAGGGGACTCCAGTACATATGTTTATCAACATTCACAACCACTTTTCACTACATATTGAAGTAGCATCAAAGATTTGACGTTTCATGAACTTTGGTTCACTTACAGAATAAATAATGAGGAAAGTGTTGCTGATCTCTAGGATGTTCTGCCAAGTACTAGTTTAAAGATTTCGTGACTTATCGTTACTTTTTGCCAAGTTTCAATCAGGATGCCTTCATTCCTTCTATTTCTTTGTCTGGTGGTTTATAAGCTTGCGAACTTCAGTAAAGATACTGTTTAAGGCTTTGGGATGGTCCCCGCAAATTATTTCAACTTGTTTTCTGTCATCCATGGACATTCTTCAGCACACCCTCGCTAGATAAAGAATTATTGTAGCCAAAAACCACTACTAAAACCATGCTATTCACTTCTTAACGAGTAGTTAGGTTTGAGAAAAGATATGATGATTGTTTAGGTTATTCTTGCAATATTTCTATGACTATTATTGTTCTATAATTGAAAACTTCAGTCAATGTCATGCAACTTGAACAAGAGCGGCTATGATATTCTTCTGATTCAGTATGAAATAAACTGCTTGTGACAGTCTAACGATTTTTCCTAGAGGGTCATTAGAGCTAACTCCAAGATGTCTCATCGGTGAATCTAATCATTTTATCCAGTCTATTTGACTTTGTTCTATCTAAAATATTTTATTTTTTGGCGTGGTCTTCTGACATGTGTCAAGACTATGGACTCCGCAATACGGCTTCCTGATTTAGTGCTGCGTGGAGAGAAGGCTCACTTAGGTATCCGCTGCTCTATCTTTATGTTCCGTTTTAAAGGAACTGGAGAAGGAGATCATCAAAATTCTTAAGTCCTATAATTCATTTATGAAATATAGAGCTCTGTAAACTTTACGTGTTGGTGAATACTCCTTGTTTTATTGGTAGGAAAAACCAGACTAATAGTTAACAGGTCTTTATTTCGATCAATCAAATGAACAGTTGGGGCTTGAGGTTCTCTTTTTTTCAACAATCAACATAAAACAATGAAAAGTATAATACCAATACAAAACAAGGAAGTTAATGAATACTTGGGCTTTAAAGTTTCGATATTGCTAAGATTTTTTTCGGGCAACTCTTAACCAATCAACCTACGTTGTTACAAACTCACCTATAGCATCTGTGAATTAATTTCTCATATTGTATAAGAGACTCGTTGGAAAGGTAATACACATGTCTATAGACGTTTTATAGACCTGTTTCCCTTTGGTGGTAACAGAACACATGATGATTTTTCAATGTCTTTTTTTCCTTTTGAGAGACAAACAACGGACTTCCCTCTCGGCCAATGAGCATTGGTTTTTCTCGATCAGGAAGAAAGAGATACAAACGGCTTTTATCTCGATGAAGTGCTTATTTAAACGTCTCAAAGTCAATTTAATACTAATGAGGTTAGTCGTAGTTTATTGAAGGTGAAACACTGAACAAGATAGTAATTCTCACTTGTGCTGCAAAAACAGAGCTGAGATGTTCTTGATAGACAAGTTGATCGAACCGAAGTTTATATGAACTCGATTCTGGGAGGAAATTGTAGATGCCACAGGTATTCAGAAGTTGACAACGCTTTGACCAGTAACACCTTCTAATATGAAGCGTACACACCAAGTGAAATCAAAAGGCAGAAGCGAGGAGATCGAAGATATATTTGATAAGCTACCAATATATCGAGGATCGTTTGAACTAATCTGGCTAGCGATTGTGACATATGTTGAGCACGGCGTTCCCACACGTGATCTGGTGCGGATGCTTGACCGAGCGCCTTCAGCTAGATGAGTCCATTAAAACTGTGGTCAGCATCCAATGTCGAAAACTTACAGAGCTATTTATTTCGGGGATTTATTTACCGCTACAGATCACTCCCACCCCTGGTGGTGTAGTGATGACCCTAAGACATGGCCAGCCAGAAGTTTAAACCCAACGAGTTTTTCGTTGGTAAACGCTCTTCCGATAGCTTCCTAGGTTTAGCAGCATCTGGTTGTCTTTCCTTACTGTAAGGGACCATGAAGTACAATTTAGTAAAAAAAGAAAAAGTACAATGAAGATTTCCGTTTCTCGCAACTTCATCGTTCTTTTTATCGTCTTTTCCAGTCGTCCTGGAAAGGAGAAAAAATATGTAAGTGCATGTCGAAATACACTGGTACGCGCGTAAAAACACAAAGCGAGCGAAAAAAAATGGAAAATAAACTCATGCTCACGTAATAGCGTAAAAAAATGGAATTTTATAATATCTTTGTTTTTGTTTTTTCTTTTTTGAAATGACAAAATTAAAAAAATATATAAGCATATTAAATTCGAGTTTTTTTTAAAGTTACATATAGCACAAGAGAAAATCGAGATGAAATAAAATGTTAACTTGTATCTTACGTGCAGTAATCGTTCGAATGTTCTGGAAATCTTACTCTTCTTCCAGAACGCGTTGTTTTGAGTTTATTTTCTGATACTGCCGAAGTATCAACGTGTGTGTCGGCCGTCGATTGAGGTATTATAAAAGCAGGAGTTGTGTCGTGAGATTGTATTGAAGGAAAATCGAATTGCATAGGATTTCTTTCCAAATACGCTGCTTAGAGGCGATCGATACTGATGCTTTCGTTGGTTCCGTTCTTATCGATTATATAGTACTTAGATTCGCGTTGATGAACTTTGAAAGGTCCTTCATATGTTGATTCGAGAGGTCGTTGATGCGAGTCTCGACGCACGAAAACGTGTGTACTATGTAGTAGGTCAGGTTGAACGAAAACATCAGTTGATTGTGGTCGAGTGGAAACAGGTTTAACTGAACGCATTGCGTTTGTAAGCCTGTTCGCGTAGGAGGTTAGATCCATATCCATCGAAGAGGATGAAGGGTCCACGAACTCTCCTGGAAGTCGAAGGGTCGTACCATAAACGAGTTGAGATGCAGTGTATCCAATGTCAGATTTCACTGCATTGCGTATGCCTAGCAAGACGAATGGAAGAGCGTCAGTCCACTGAGAAATGTTTGAGGCTGATAGTGACGCTTTTAGTTGTCGGTGAAAACGTTCTACTAACCCGTTTGCTTATGGGTGGTAGGCCGTCGTTCGGAAGCGAGTGATTCCTAGTCTCGCGATCAGACAACGGGAAACTTCAGACTCAAATTGACGTCCACGATCTGTAGTGATTGTTGTTGGGCAGCCGAAGTTTGCTACCCACCTCTCGACGAAGGCGCGGGCCACTGTTTCAGCAGTAATGTCTTTGATAGGTATTACTTCTGGCCATTGAGTAAAACGGTATATGCAGGTTAAAAGATAAGAATATCCATTCGAATCTGGTAAAGGTCCTACCAAATCCAAATGAACGTGGTCGAAGCGAGCATCGGGAGTGTTAAACGAGCCAAGGGGACATTTGTTATGTCTAATAACCTTAGATTTCTGACAGCTTACACAGGAACGTGCCCACTCCCTCACGTCTTTATTCATACCAGGCCAGCAAAATCATTCTGCTATAAGCTTGATGGTTGCACGAACACCTGGATGCGAAAGTCTGTGCAACGTATTGAAGACGTTCCGTCGATATCGTTTCGGCACGATTGGGCGATCCCTACCTGTAGATGTGTCACACAGTAAGGTTTCCTTACCTGTTCTCATCTGTTTAATGCGCAGTTTAAGTGTTGTTGAGGACAACTCGTGCTGAATATCAGTGCATTCTTTTTGAAGTTGGGCGAGTTTTAAAAGGTCGATTCCTTGGAAACTGTTCAAGGAATTTATTCGAGACAAGGCGTCTGCAACTAAATTGTTTGCTCCAGAAATGTGTCGAATATCTGAAGTAAACTGAGGAATATAGTCCAGTTGTTGAGACTCACGTGGTGAGTACTTGTCTGAAGATGAGCTTAAGGAGAAAGTAAGTGGTTTATGGTCGGTAAAAAGGGTCAATTCGCGACCTTCGATATAGTGTTGAAAATGCTGTACAGCACAATACATATCTAGGAGTTCCCTACCGAATGTGCTGTACCTCGATTCAGTGTCTAGCAATCGTCTAGAGAAAAATGCCAAAGGTTACCAGGAGTGGTTAACCCATTGTTGTAAGACTGCACCGATTGCTGAGTCGGATGCGTCTACTGCGATACTAATGGGCGCTTCAGGATCTCGATGAGCAAGCATGGTCGCTTGAGCGATCAGTTCCTTAACCGTGGAGAATGCTTTTCACGCGATGTCATCCAGATTGATGGATTTCGCATTTCCACGAAGTTGGTCGGTAAGGGGTTTCAT